ACTTAGCCGGGCAGAGTTACCGGTACTTCATACTTGTGCTAGTGGAAGGTAGCAAGTACCTAGTAAAATAGTTGAAATGCACAGTAAAGAGAGAAGAGCATGCAGTTGGAAATCATTATCAGAAACTCTAATCCAATAGGATAAATTAAAACCTTCTACAGATTGTATGAATTAACTTCTCCAGTTTACTTAGAATTGTATGAACGTACAAACACATCACAAATCATTCAGTTACAAAAAGTTGTTCACTCCTTTATTATTAGCATGGGTGTGAGTGAATCAGAATCATCTCCTTCTTCATCATCCGAATAGCAAGCCGTAGATGAGTTGGACTCATCCGATGATTCTGAAGAAGTCTGGCAGTGTTGTTCATTGTCGTTATCAAGAGATTGTGAATTTCCATCAGGATTCATGGCTTCAAGTTCTGAGATCTCATTCTTGCTGAGTTTATTCTTCAATTCTTGCTGCTCCATTTGAACATGTTATTTAACTTGTATTAGTATCTCCATAAAATTACTACATTAAACTTTGTTAATTCTGACAATAAGTGTTTATTATAAAAGTTTGTGCATAATCACCTCGCAAAGAAAAATTAATCAAACAATGTATATAACTTAAAACTTATAAAAGAAGAAGGGGGAACTGATCCAGCAAGTTGTAGTTCTCTTTTTTAAGTTCCATGCAAGATTTTGCACTCTTCTTCAGTAGGGAAGAGAGAGTACAAATTTCCTTCCTCAATTCATCTTCTTTTGCTTTTAAAGAATTAGCATTTTCCTGCAAGGAATAACAAGTATGTGTGTTTATTAGTACTTTAAAAGACAAATACTCTATCCGTTTCAATTTGTTTGCTTCATTATGATTTGGAGCGAAGTGTAAAAAACAAAGAAGATTTTTGAATTTTGTGATTTTAAATTAGAAATATGTCATTTAATCTCATTGTCATAAATATCTCAGGTGGAAAGTTGAAATTAAGAAATTGCAAAAAGAGTAAAGAGACATTTTTTGAAACGGACTAAAAAGAAAAATATGATAAATAGATTGAAACAAAGGGAGTATATGCAGCTTCCAGTATACTAAAAGTGGAAATACATATGTTGAAATTGTAAAATTATTTGACATGATTATAAGTCAAAAATCCAAATGTACTTACACTTTGGTGAGGGTTTGAATTGTCTTCAGCTGGTTGATTCTCATTCCCTCTGTTTTTTTTTAAAAAAAAACTTATAAATAAGTGAGAAAATGTGGAAAACTAATTAAATAGAAGAGTGCATATCATATATTATAAGATTAGAGAAGAATTAAATTTAACAAATTTGTCACGTCTAAAAGTACCTTTTTGGAGTCTGAGTATTTGAAGGACATTGTGTATCTGCCTCAACACATTCTGTACCTTCATGGCCTCCCTCATGACTTTCACTCCTCAAGTTCAATTTCATTAATATTTCACTTTGTATTGAGTTTTCACTTGTCATTACAGCATCCTAAGAAAAAGAAAAAAAAGAGGGAAAGGTTACAAGAAATTAAGAAAAACTATAGAAAGCTAAAGTTTAATACTTCTACGGCGGTGTAAAAAATATTTACGTAATCAGATCACTTATTATATAAAGTATAGATTACAAATAAATTTTTATAATAAGCATTAATTAAAGACATTGAAACATAATTCTACATGGCGTGAAACTATCTCATCTGAATAAAATTTTAATTTTTAAATGAAGTGATCACACAATTCAAAATTAAGTAAAACTAGGTTTTCAAATTTAAAATAGGGGTAAGGAAAGAGGACTACATGCATGAAATCGAATACTCATATATGAAATTTCAAGTAATCAACTAACTAAATTACTAAAATTCTTCAATTACACAACTTAAAGTATCCCGTTCAATGGAAATAATTCAAGAAAAAAAAAATATAGCAAGAATATGAACCGGAATGTTGACTTTGATTATCGTTCAATATATCTGGCTAATTTGACAAATCTTTTTGTTTGCAAAAATATATACCGTCAAATTGTATAAGAACGAAGAATTGATGAGAAAACGTACAAAATAATTAAAAGAATACTGCAATATATATATATATATATATAAATAAGAAATCTGTATGGCTCAAGGATTACTTGTTCATGTTATATTCAATTTCAAATTTTAATCGTAAATTTCCCATTTAATTTCCTAAACCTTTTCGGAATTGGGAAATCAAAGCACTGCCAGCTGGCACCTTTTGATTGGGACACATAATTCCTTCCATGTTTAACTTAAATTATAATTTCATATGACACGTATAATAATACTCCCCCTTTCCTATTTATACGTGTGCTTACTTAAAAAAATAAATGGTTCTTCATATTTGTCATTTTACAAAATTAACATATAAGTGACACTATTCTTTTTATTTTATCCTTAAGAGTTATTAGTCTTGAAAATATAAATTTGACCAATATAGAAAAACTAAATGATTAATACATATTCATTGATCAATTTAATTATTTTCAACTTCCAAACATTTAGTTTATACTAATACTAGGTTGCATATTTGTTAGTATTTTAATAATATATATGTTATTTATTTAACTATATACTTCGGTATGAATCACGGGTCGGTTTGGATCGGTTTTGATCAAAATCAAAACCAAACCAACTTAATTGGTTTTAAAATTATCAAAACCAAATCAAATCAAATATAATATACATTTATCGATTTGGTGGTTATCGGTTTCGGTTTGGTTTGGTTCGTTATTCGGTTATTAACCATACACAAAAATATAAAAAAAACAATTCATTCAATATGTGAAAAAAGTCACAACAATCAATTCAAAACGAAAAATAGTTAGAATGACTTAAATTCCTGAACTTTCGATCACTAAATTTACTATCAATAAAGCTTTAAAATTCACTATATTGGCCCAGAAGGAAGAGACAATAACATTTTCAACCCCATAAAAAATTGTCATAGACACTCATATACATGAAAACAATTAGATAAATGTTTCATCTAGGATATTTTTGTTTTCAATAAATAAATTATAAAGAAATTTGAATGAAAATATGTATAAGATCTGTAAAATTGTTTATAAAAACAATATATTAAGTATGTATATTAATGAAATATATGTATATAGTTCATCGATTCGGTTCGATTATTTCGAATAAAATCATTAAAACCAAACCAAATTCAAATAAAATTAATTTTATTTTATTGATTTGGTTCGATTTTTCAATTTGAATCAATTTTTATCCAAACCATGAACACCCCAACCTTGGGGAGTATTTATTATTTTATTTTTTATATTATAAAAGTGAGTTTAAAGAGAGAAAAAAAAAGGACAAGAAAAGAAAACTAATGTGGCCTTTTAGTAATTGACTCGTCAAAAGGAGCTGTCCAAGATTCCATGTTTTGAGCTTTAATTAATCACTCCGTACCTACGAATTTGGGTCAACAGTAAAAGACAGAAATACGGATAAAACAATAATAGTACTATTAATTCCATAACCAAACAAAAATATTCCTATTTTGTTTCTATTATTTTTCCTTTTTTCTTATTTGGATGTCTTTTTAGCAGATTGAGACACAAATTTTTATAAGTATTACTCTAAAAAAAAAAGTAATTATTTAGACCACAAACATTACTGTGTTCGTTTCGCAGACCGCGATCTGAAGTTTGATATAATTTGATTTCTCTTTTCAATATTTAACAGAAAAATTAAATGAAATGATTAATCTGAGTCAACATCAAAATTTATCTTAATAAGTAAATAATACACAAATTTAAACGTAATTGAACTAAGTATTCTTTTTTCCACCTTAACCTTCAATTTATATCTCAGACATTGTAAGGGCATATAGCATTGAAGTTATTTGAGGACTTTACACTATATGATAGTAATACAAAATTTAATGAATGCAATGCATTAAAAAGGATTATATTAACAACTTGAAATGATATTCCGTTTGTTCCAAAACGAGTGATGTTCTTAATTTGGACATATTTCTTAAGAAGTTATTCATTCTTAGAAAATAAAGAGTGTTTTTTATTATTTATTTCTAATAAAAAAAGAGGCTAATAAATAGTTCTTGATTACGTAAACAAGGATAATTTTGAAAGAATAAAATCAGTTCCTTCTTGAAATCCTTAAATACATAATTTATTTTAAAACAAAATAAAAAAGCTAAAACACCATTTATTCTGAAACAAAGAGAGTAATATTGTAGTGATCGTTTGATAGGAGTGTGTATTAGACCGAGTGTATAAAGAATAATATATTAACACTATATTTAAGTACATTACAAATTGAAGTATGGTTTGTTATAAACCATATTTAGTAGTATTATTTTTATACATGGTAAATCATGACATTAATAATATTCTAATACATCATATTATTCTCATTCTAGTAATATAAATTTTATTCATTTAATACAATCAATAAATAAAAAATAATATCAACATAACTAATTTCAACACTACTAATAAAACATCATTATTATTATTATTGTTAATACATGCTATTCTTAGTACTATTTTTATAATACATTATTATTATTATTAATACATGCTATTCTTAGTACTCCTTCAGTCCCTTTTTAGTTGTCTACTTTAGAAATGACACACAGATTAAGGCAACAATGATTAGCACAGTAAAGTTACAATTTTACCCTTATGACAACTTTTCACTTCAAAATTACAACCACTTATTTGAATTCAAGTGAAATAAATTGGAGGGAAACAACATACACTTTTACAATTTTCAAGAAGTGTAAATAAGGGTATATAATAGGAAAAAATTTGTTGTCCTTTCTTGATTTGTCAAAATGGACAACTAAATAGGGACAACTAAAAAAGGAAATATGGACAAGTAAATAGGGACGGAGGGAGTACTATTTTTATAATGTCAAAAACAATCTTTTGTGTTAAGCAATGTCTCTGTCATAACTCATAATAGAGTTTGTTTACTTTTGTGAAAAGGTGCAAAAAATGATCATGAAAAGAATTTATCTTATCTCACTTCTTGGACCTCTAAAATGGCAAGTCTTTCTATGATAAACCAAAATAATAAACTTTGGATCCTTTATAAATCAACTTTCACTTTCCTTTTTCTTTTCATTTTCATTTTCATTTTCACCTAAAAGGGTTTCAACAAGACCACTATCCCTTTTTTTTTTACATCTCTGATTCTCACAGCTCTGGCATTTGTCAATCAGTCACAGGCTGGAACAATGTGCATATTTTTTCAAGCAGAAATTATGCACTTTCAGTCCCATTTGCTCTTTTTATCCTGAATATGTATACCCTTTTGGAATCTCGACATAGCGACATTCTTTTCTTGGTCTCATGAGTGTTATTTCCAAAAAAGGTATTTGGGTTTATTTGGTTTTTGATTTTTATTGTGTGGGGTTCTTGAATTCTTGGGTATTTTTTTCTTTAATGTGTTAATGTATATGGTGACCTGCATTTATGTGAAATTGTTGTTTTGGGGTTTGTTTTTGTGAATCTGATCTACTTGCTTTCAGAGATTTATCAGCTTATTGTAGTTATATATTTCGTGAGATTTTTTGGAAATAAGATGCATATGTATCTGTTTCTATTCAGATCCAAATTTGCTTCTTTACCAAAATGACAATGTGTAAACCCAAATTTGTATATCTTTTTTCTTCATAACACAGTCATTAACACGCGATGTCACTATTCTAGAATTTAGAACCCGTAAAGTTCAAATCTTGGCTTCGTCTATGATTATTTATTTGTCGACTATTCAATGAATTTTGTCTGTCTGTTTAAGTTGCTGTGAAATAGGTCTTCACTCATAGTTTAGTGATCTCCTTTCTCAATTCTCATTGAGGACAGAAAATGGTTACAATTTGAAGTCTTTAAGTGAAAGAGGCTAAGTTATTGATCTTTAGGTGTTCTTTGAAGAGAAGTATTGTGCCAGTTGGTGTAGATTTAAAGACCTATAACTTGATATGATTCGATACATTTTTTGATGTTTTTTGTTTTCTGTTTCACTTGTTTATTTCTGTTTGTGTTAACCAGTGAAACCAGGTTCATTTTCTTGACAAAATTAAAGCTAGAAACATGATTTTATTTCTTCAGACCTTACTTGTTAGGTTGGTTGGAATGTTGTATGTTTAAATATCTTGCTGGAATAGATTCAACTCGAAAGTACCTAGATCATTTTTGCTCCCTTTCCCTTCCTTTAAAGTCCACTTTACCATTTTGAATTGAGACCACCTTTTTGACATTGTATATTCGAGTCTCTGTAGTCCTTTCTTTTTGCACAGAGGTCTGAGATATTTATTGTCCATTATCGCTCTCTTACACCAGTGTTACAAGTTGTTGAATGCTATGTACTTATTGAGCCCTTACCCATGACCAGTATTGAGATGTATAGATTGATATGACCTATTTGATAATTAAGTTCAGATATCACTGCATTTATGTTGTCAAAGAGCATGAATAAGATCGTATCATGAGAAGTTTGTATGGACAAATCAATTAGGTAGTCTTTAGCACAATAAACCTTGTTTTTAGTTCTGTCAGTTCCACAACCATCCCCCAAGCTCATCCCTTTGGAACCTTCAACAGATTTTCAGTCTACTTGCCCATCTACCTTTTCTACATCTAATTAAGTTGAACCTGGTTCACCACCTTTTTCTTCTCAATCAAAATGATTTCTTTTTGGCCTTGTTCTATCCCAAAAATCATGAATGCAGGCATATTTTACTCAAAAAAGGTTAAGAAGATACTCCCTCTGTCCCAATTTATGTCCCAATTCATATGACACACTTTCCTTTTTAGTTAGTCCCAAAAAGTATGACACATTTCCTTATTTGGCAAATATTTTATGACACTGTCAACATTTTACCCATGTTGGGTCCCACTTATTTAGCAAAAAGTCCACAAATGTGTACTCTTCTATTTAAAAATTTGTTTATTTTAAGGATAGTTTTGGAACATATCAAAGTCTTCCCATATTTCGTTAATTCCATGTCCATTAAAACTACATCACATAAATTGGGACAGAGGGAGTATAAGATATGGACATATTTGTTTGTCAATTTTGTGGGATTGTGCATCCTATATTGGCTGAACTTAGTGTAGTTGACACTTGACACTTGATTTTCTTGTTGCAGGTAGAAACTAGGTATTGAAGCATTCCTAGTTTTGCCTTGAACATGAAATCAAAATTAAAGAATGGCTTGTGTTCTGTGGTCCCTCTTCATTTGCAAGGTGAATCCGCAACACGTTTTTGCATGTTTCCCAAAGTGAAGTCAGCTTGTTGTAGTCCAGGCAACACACCTGTTTACCTTAATGTGTACGATTTGACACCCGTTAATGGCTATTTTTACTGGGCAGGCATAGGTGTCTTCCATACAGGGATTCAAGGTGAGTCCACATTTGATTTTTGATGTATATTTTTTGAGATCAAGACCTTATTTGGCTAGGTTCTTGGACATTCATCTTGTTTGTTTAGAGCATCTACTTTATGTTAAGTTCTTGTTGGCCTAAAAATCCATCCTTTGTAAATTCATAATCTTAAAATTTAGAGCAACAACAAAAATATTTGTGATAATACGAGTGAAGACAACAGATGTGGTAGCTTACTGCAACTCTCTCTTGTCCACGCTTGTGTATCCCACTGATTACTCACACTGAAACATGCTCCTTTCATTAAAGGGAAAACATGGTGCTGCCACATGTTGTGTAGCGCTACAATGGAGAATCTGAGTATTAGTTATCTGGGAAGTACATATTCAATTAGTCTACTTTTTTTCCTTGAGATGATGAGATAATAGTATCTTCTCGTACACATGTTTTCTCAAAATGCTCTTTATTAATAAAACATGAGTATATTTTTCTAATGCTTTCATCATATTTGCAGTTCATGGTGTTGAATATGCTTTCGGAGCACATGACTATCCAACAAGTGGTGTCTTTGAGCTTGAACCTCGACAGTGCCCTGGCTTTAAATTTAGAAAGTCGGTGTTCATGGGGACAACATATCTGGATCCTATCCAGCTTAGAGAATTCATTGCGCGCCAATCAGCAAACTACAATGGTGACTCATATCATTTGATTGCTAAGAACTGTAATCATTTCTCAGATGATATCTGTTACAGGTTGACTGGGAAACGGATACCTAAATGGGTGAATCGGCTAGCACGAGTAGGTCTGTAATCTATCATCTGCATCGTGTTTCTTGTTCTGCTTAATTTCCCAACATTTAAATGCTTCAGAGTGCTAACACAAGCCTCTCTTACTGCTCCAACATAAAACTTCAATTGTCATTCTTTTAGCAATCCTTTCTTTGATTGTTTGTTTCATTTTTCTTTTCTCTTTACTTATCTGCTATTGGGAAAGCTGAGTTATATGATGAATCATCTGTGAAGCTACATATGTCAGTCCACTTCTTTGGTTACATGGACATAAATTATAACTAAGTCATTGCTTTGGCAGAGACCATCTATATCTGTTTGTCTCTTGTTTGTCCTCTCATTCTGCTTGTTGAACTGAAGTTGTTGTAAATTTGAAAAGGACTTAGAAAATGAATTATATTGATCTCTTCTTTTTTACTTAATAAAACTGTATATTTCTTCTTTAAGTAAAAATAAACTTTTTTTTGGGGTATTCCTGTAGGTTCATTGTGCAACTGCATTCTTCCAGAAGCCCTCAAAGCTTCCACGGTACAACATGGCACAAATGCACAAAACTATGACAGTGAGAAGAGGAAACTAAGAAGCTCTTTTAACTGTTTGTCTTCAATCTCAATGCGTCAAGGTGAGAAAGAAGTATCAATATCATCGTTGTTCTTGCACTCCCACTATAAAGGATGTCTGCCGCCTTGGGAATCCAAAAAGTCTAGAAGCAGGTCTTTGAAGGAAGGATAAGGTCTTTTTAATCCTCTATATGGAAATCCTGTGTGAATACTGACTTCTTTGTCAGACAAGCATTTCTACGTATAGCCATTCTGTGAGCTTGTTGAAATATTTGCCGGGCTCTCATTTGACTACTGAATAGCGCTTGCTGGCTGAGATTCTTTTTGGCTTGCCTGTGGTGATTTATGCACATTCTCTGAGTTCAGATTTCTGGTGTCACAAGTTCTGCTGCCCAGTTCATATTCTGATCCTACTGAAGATCAAATCTATGCATCAGTATTTTGTCCCAGAAATGTATTTGTTTGTTAATTCTCAGTCGTTTTCTTGTTTGATACTTAAAACAGAGAGATTCTTGTTTCTCCTGTGGTAGAAATTTACTTTTGAAAGATCATGAGCTATTTGCAAACAATTTTCTCAACCAAATTATGACAAATATACCAACATCACTTGCGCAAAATCCTGCTTATATCCCCTCTAGTAAATTGGCATTACTGGAATTACTGTTTATGTGCTGTGTACAGTATACTCAACATGATTTCTGTACTGATCCTGCGCATAACGAGAGCTTAGTGAACTGAGTTGTCTAAGCTGCAAAACCAATGACAATGTCAACGCCCTGTAATATATGGCAATGAAGTTGCAGTGATTTCAATAATAATAGGTGAGAGATATATTGCCAGCTAAAACAATTTGGCAGTACATGTGCCATAATTTTATCACACTTCAAAACCCATTAGCTGTCTTCTGAAGTTCTATTAGTTGTATCGTATCAAAGGAAATCTTTTGACAAACTAACAATCTTGATCTTAAGCTAATAAAATATCATCTACAACACAAAATATTCTAACCGGAATATCTTTAATACATATTTCATACATTAAAAAGATAATTAAGGTAGTTATATGTCGTAATAAAAGATGAATAGTACTATCAACTATGTAAAGTTATTTGTCAGCAGAGTATAATTCTGTCAAAATCATTTGAATCGTGGAATCCACTTTGAGGTTGGCAGCAAATTAGAACTTGCCAGCGAAGCTTCTATTAGAAAGTTCCAACGTAGCTAAGGACTTCTGGTCAACTCTGCTTGTGATAATCCAAGAATCAAGATAATCTAAAAGAGCTAAAAGTCGCTATTAAATTCTCAATTCAAGAATTGCTCATAACCTATTCGGAAAAAGTCCCACCTGAAGAAAAAGTTGAAAACTTTGAGATAAAGGGTTGCGATAATTTTGGATTTCTTGATTAAATTCAGCTAAATGGGTAAAGGAGGGGGTTGTATGTCAAGCAAGAACAAGTTTCCTATAAATGAATCAGCAGAGAGACCAGTGAGTCAAACTGATATAACAGGGTCAGAAGCAGAAAGGTCCAAGAAGTTGAGAATATTCATTGTGTTTTATTCAATGTATGGACATATTGAAAGATTAGCTAGAAGGATGAAAAAAGGGGTAGATGGGATTGAAGGTGTTGAAGGGGTTCTGTATATGGTTCCTGAAACGTTAGCACCAGATGTTTTGGAACAAATGAAAGTCCCCCCAAAAATTGATGAGATTCCAGTGATATCCGTGGATGAGCTTATGGAAGCTGATGGATTCTTGTTTGGATTTCCTACAAGATATGGATGTATGGCAGCTCAGATGAAGGCATTTTTTGACTCGACGGGGAAGTTGTGGAGAGAACAAAAGCTTGCTGGATTGCCTGCAGGGTTCTTTGTCAGTACTGGTACACAAGGAGGTGGACAGGAGACCACCGCGTAAGTCTGTCTTCTGTCATCCATTTACTTGTGTTTATACTATTAATCGTTTCTTTTTATATCATCGGTGATGTCTGATCAGTGATCACTGTGTGTGAGCTAATTGCAACTTTCAGTTGGATGTTAATGCATTTGGGCAATGACTAATGTGTATGTGACATATATGTAAACCAGAAAAGAGGAGAGTAATATGACAATGTTGTACTTAAGCAAATTGATAGATACCCTTCAGATAATTGCTTCACCTAGTTGTAGTTGCAAATGAATAGACAGAAGAAACGGAGAACACTAGCAGAATCTAAGTCCACAACTTAACTGTTAAGAGTGCATACTAGTGACTAGTCTGAAAAATCATTTTGGCAGCCCTACAAAACTGTATGTAGGCTGTAGCTCTCCATAGCATCCAAAGGATTGCCTTTAACTGTTGATCCGTTTAACTGGTACTGATTGAGTTAAAGGAATCCCTTCATCTCAATGATTTGCAAGGTATCATTGAGGAAGAAGGCTCTACAGACCCAAAAATACTGTTTCTGATTGATCTTCCAACAATTAATATACTTGAAGGAATTTGATTTTCCAACAGGCCTAAGGGAAAGTATCTTGCAGTCAGATTTTTCTGTAATAGGTAATTAAGGCATCAAGAACACTTAACAATTGTCAGTATAGAATCTCATTTAGCAAACTGGTTGCCTGCTATGATAACTATCCATTATAGTTTATGAAGGACTATAAATGTACTCTTATGTAATCTCTATATCCTTTATCTTCTGTTCTATTTTCTTCTTTCTGATGATCCACTTATATCCTTGTTCCAATATTAATCATGCAACCAATTGGGGGACAAAGCTTGGTCAACGATAATCTGCTAACGAAATCACCATTTTGAAATGTTTCATTTTTCGTATTTGCAGCTGGACAGCAGTCACTCAGTTAGCTCACCATGGGATGCTCTATGTTCCAATAGGATACACATTTGGAGCAGGAATGTTTAGAATGGATTCAATAAGAGGAGGTTCTCCATACGGAGCAGGAACTTTCTCTGGAGATGGTAGCAGGGAACCTAGTGAACCAGAGTTGGCGCTGGCCGAGCACCAGGGCAAGTACATGGCAATGACAGTTAAAAGATTGGCTCAGCACTATTCCTTACCACCTGATAATGCCAGCTCCCGACGTTTTTAGAAATTGAAAAATGTCCAAATTTACCCCTCTACTATATGAAATGTCTTAATTTTAAGTTATACTTTGGGGCCATTCATACCTTTGTCGTTAAGAAATCGTCTTTGTATCTGTCTTTGCCTTTAACAGAGCTCCAAAGTGAACCGGATGATAAGGTTTCAATTTACCCCTCTACTTTTCACTATACTTTAAAATTACCTTCCGTTATACTTCAGGTTGGAGTTTCGTTAAGGGTGAGAACGGCAAGGGTGTGGATGCCCTTCAAAAGTATAACACATTAGTAAACTCAAGATCTTTCATTTAGTAGAATTGTAATTTTACCCTTTTTGGTTTAGAAACACCCTACATGTAATTTTTGTCCATTCCTAAAAACATTTCCTAAACTGAATGTATCAAAATTTGTGTGCCCTTAGAACTTAGAAGGTAATGTTTTTTTTTTCATTTATTAATTTGATTTTAGATTTTACAATGGGTTAGGGGGAGGGGAGGATGGAATTTGATGTGCCATAAAGTATAAACTATGATTTGTGTTCCATTTTCTATATGTTTTGGCCTCTCTTGTTTTGAGGAGTCTTTTGTGATCCGGAGAAAATAAAGCATTTAGATAAGCACTTTAATTTCGCGTTGGACGTCAATTTCAAATGCTAATAATTAAACTTTATATTTACTGATTTTTTAAAACACAAATACATAGTTTGAACAAAAAATATTAAAATATGCTGAATTTATATTTGGACTTCTACCTCTATTCGTGATGGTAACACTCATTAATTGAGTCTAATTTCATTGGTGACCAACCCAATTTTATTTTATTGAACTAAAGATACTAAACTACATTTTATAACAAAAAAAAGTCACTTAACTTTGTGTAAATATCATTAAAAGTCACTAATAAATAAATTTTATTTGATTAAAAAGTCACATAAATTTGCCTAAATATGAGAGAAACAATATTATGATTAATGTCATGTCTCTTTTGTTTCATCCTTGAGAAAAAAATGAGGACGAGGCTTAGATTATTCGATCATGCGAATAAATAATTCACAGATGTTCTATAAACAAGTGTGAGACACGGGTTATAGTGGGTTTAACGAGTGATAGAGGTAAGTCGAAGAAGTCTTAGGAAGAACTGATTAGATAAGACATGCCTCACCTGTAGCTTACCAATAGCACAATTCTAGATAGAAAAATCAGTAGATCGAGGATTAAGATAGAAGGTTAGTAGGCCGAGAGTTGTCTAGTTCATTTTTTAGTATTGTTATTATTACACTTTTACTATTTTATTTATCCTATTATTTATCATTGTTACTGTTCTTCATTGTATCTGACATGACTTTTTCGCTACTATGTTGTACATATTGTTTTTAGTCGATGCCCGAGGTCTAAACTCTAAAATGAAACTTTTACATTAAAAAAATTGGGGTAAAACTGTGTCTATAAAAAAGTCGAGTGAGTTTTTCTTTACCAAAAAATAGTTTCGCGACTTTGGTGCAATAAAGCGAAAGTTGAGTGATTAACCATAATTAATTGTGGATGCAATTACCTTTCGTTTTACCTGAACTGTAAACTTCTTCTTATCACTTGGTCGAAGACTGAAAAACTCTCGTCAACTCTGAAGTGGAGTGAAGGGATCTTTAAGCTTCAAATCTCGCTAAACCCTAGTGGCTTGCGAGCATTTTCAACATGTCTCGAGCGCCAGTAATCCTCAGTTTCCTTCTTCTTGCGGTTCTTGGCAATGCATTTTCCCCTGAAAACCCAACAGATCGGAAAATCTTGGTTTTGCTCGATGATTTATCCATCAAATCTTCACATTCTCTCTACTTCCAGTCTCTACAAACCCGTGGTTTCGATCTTGATTTCAAACTCGCCGATGATCCCAAGATCGCGCTACAGAGATACGGACAGTATTTATATGACGCCTTAATTCTCTTCTCACCTACCATTGATAGTAAGTCTCCATGCCAGATTTCTTTATGTTACATATGTGTATAGATCCGAGCTGAATGCAGTGGTTTCCAGTGAACCCGATGCGAAGGGATAGATCGAAATGGGTTAATTTTTTGGGTGTTTTAGGTAGATTAATAATGTCGTTCCTTTTTTTTTTCTTCTTTTTTAAGGTTTAGGTGGATCTCTTAATGCGGCAGCTATTCTGGACTTTGTTGACTCTGGCCATGATTTGATCCTTGCGGCTGATGCATCTGCATCTGATCTAATTAGGGAGATTGCTACTGAGTGTGGGGTTGATTTTGATGAGGTATCAGAAAACGTTTCTGTTACTTATATTTTTATTCAATCAATCACACAACTTTACCTATTAGGCCCAGTTCATACTAAAAGACTTGTGTTTTAAGTGAATGATTCATATTGCATACAGAAACCCTTTGCTTAACATTTTTACTGTGGTGAAGTGAATTCGATGGGATTTTCTTTGGTTACTAATGATGTTGCTAATTTGGATCCATGTTCTAAAAGCAAATGATGAACATAATTTTTTTGATTTTCTGAACCCCTATCAATCACTTTCATTCTTATGGGTGATTGCATCTTTGTGATAAGTATACTCATACTCCTCTAAAGTTAAGCATGACATGCTGACTAATGTTTTTCTACTCTTTATGTTCTACATAATAGGATCAGTCAGCTATGGTCATTGATCATACAAGCTTTGCAGTTTCAGATACAGAAGGGGACCATACCTTAATTGCTGGTGATGATTTCATTCAATCTGATGTAATCTTGGGCAAAGAAAAGATCGAGGTAAAGGACTATATTTCATCTATAATAATCATGATTTTTGAGTCTACTCTTCTATTTAATCATGGAATCAACGTGATCATAAAATATTAGCACATAAGTGTGGCCCTCCATTCCCATTTTTTTTTGGGGGGGGGGGGGGGTCTGTAAATACGAGAGATCAAAAATAGATCCTAGAACCCAATTCGCATACTGCTCTTAAGGGCTGATGGCCCAACTGTAGGAACACACCACATGCCCAAGTGGGGAAGAACCAACATCAAACGTGTCGAACCATCCAAACAGCGTGATCTCTTATGAAGATGCTATATCTATAATTTAACTGGAAAGGTTTGAACGAGTTTGTTGTGGTCATCTTTCCCTTAAGATTGAAAGAAATAATTAGCAGTTTGTCTTTCTGGAGCTATCGCCTATAAAAAGGATTTTTTAACTTATTTATCAATGTATTCTGTTGATGCCTTTTGTAGAAATACTGATATTTCATAACATGTAGCAATTTTAGAGATCAATTGGATTGTCCTGTCCCACAAGAGAATGGCCGAAACTCTCTCAACATGTAGCAATGTTTGTTTGCATTGCAAAAGAGTTGTTTCTTTCCTCCCAACATGGGTAGCTATCCATTAATTTTTTGCTTTCAACCTCCCATTTTGGAATCGTATCTACACTAATAAGCTGTGAAAACTCTATAAAGCTGATACATTCAACCAACCACTGTCATTTCACTCAATAATTTCTTAAAGATTTTAGAAACCTTTATTATTTAGGCTTTTTACTTCCCTAGCACATCTTATGTGACACTTAGCATTTTGCAATTGTTTCTCTTGTTCTCTTTGTTCATTTGTGTATTTGCCATGTTCGTTGGATTGTATCCTTGCAATTGTTTGTTGTAGCTTGTATATATGCTAATCCACATAGGGAAGTCATTGAAATAGTGACTCAAATTGCAGAAAGTACCACAATTTGAGTATTCTTTAGCTGTATACCACTCTCGTTCAGTCTATTATTCTTGAACAAGGGTGCTCTATTTTCTGATAATAAAGGAACAGATTATTATTCAAGCGGTAGAGTGCTTAGCCACATGAATAAACTTATACTAGACCTTCAATTAGAGATACAAGTTCAAAATTCTTCAGGGAAGTTCTGAGGAAGGATCTGGAACCAGATCATTATTAGTACACATAGAAGAAGGTTCTTTATTGATCTGTCTATGGGATAGGGATGGGGAAGGGAGGAAACAGAAGTTTAACTCCCTCAGAGTGTTCACCTTCTCTTTATAAAGTCCGGATAAAGACCAATGATCTTGAGTAACCGATATGGTGTAGCAACTGAAACTATCAATAAGTATACAGTAATTTCTTCATGCTCATTGTAATCTCTATTGTGCTCTCTTTTTGAGGTAGCTGCTTTTGTAAATAACACAAGGATTGTCATGTATCCTTTTTTAGAAGGTAAATAAATTGATTAATAATAGGAAACTCTCATTCTAAGGTGAAGAAATTGATTAATACCGGAGATTTTTCCATTATCTCTTATAAATAATAATAGGAAAATCTCACATAAACCAACAGTTCACCAAAGAGTAGAGAATCTATAACATAGTATAATTCACTGTGAATGACACCAAATCTTCTATATATATAAACTAGAACCTCAAGGGTGAACCTGAGAGAAACTAAATTTGAGAGGCTATCCCAAATGTATGTGGCCATTCTATACCCTTCAAATTCAAAAGCTCTCATATTTCTCTCTTTCAACAGAACCAACATAAGTGCTAATGAGGCAGATTCTCAGCTGTCAGGATCTCCTGTATCTTATCATATGTGTATCAAATAGGAGTCAGAATCTAACCTGAGGTACCAAATTAGACCAATGGAACTTAATCTACTCTTGCCATATTTAAAGCCAATAAACAAAGGCTTGTGAATTTATCTTCAATTTTTTTAATTTTCTTGTATTGATTAATAAGCTTGACATGGAATCAAATGCACTATATTTATCAGGTATATATTTAACCTCAAGTTTTCAATTAAAATTAGTTCATGAATCATGACAATGAAGGCAAATCATGATGTCAGAAAAAAGAGTATGCAGTAATAGGATAAGGTCGCGATGGAATAGATCAAGCAAGCTCGAATTGATGCAATAAGGAACCTATTTGGCCAAAGCCCTCATATAACAATGTGCAATTTTTGAGGTGGTCTTACTTGAATGGTCTGTTCTATAATCTCCTAACATAGACCTTTTGAGTTTTACAATGTCCATTTTTGAGGCATTTATGGTGTTATTTTGATATTGGCATTGGGTCATAAACTTTGTATGTACAAACTTCCCCAGTTACCTTTTTCATTTTTTACACTGACATGTGATTGTGTATCGGATGATACAGCTCTTGAGTCCTGCTGTAATGGAGCAGCTTGTTTCTAATACATATTTCTGTTATATAAATCCAGGCTCCTGTACTCTTCAAGGGGATTGGTCACTCTGTAAATCCGGCTAATAGCTTGGTAAGTTTCTGCAAGTTCTTTCTGGACATACATGTGTGTGAAGTACATTCTGTATAGTTATTTAATGTCAAAGGGTGCATCCATCATGCTTGCAGGTGCTGAAAGTTCTCTCAGCTTCGCCTTCAGCGTATTCAGCTAATCCTAAATCCAAATT